GAATGCGATGGTTCACCCCCTGAGTTCCCACTCCGATCGGTTGTGGAACTCGAGGCTGCTCACGAAACACGTGTTCTTAAGCACCTCATCGATGGCTTTGCACCTCATCAGCACTTGCACACTGCCGTCGACCGGCCAGTGTCCAGGAACCTCGCTGTCAACCGAGGCCTCATCATAATGCGATTGAAATTTTGTGGAGCCTCGTTTTCTTTTCTGGGACTTTCGACGCAGTCGCGTCCAAACCCGACTGACCGATTCGAATCGAATTTAGCAATCTTGCTAAAATGAGTAGGCGTTACACTTTTTTGTAATGTGTGTTTTGTACAATTTTGCAGCTTGTGGAGTCTCAGAAACCTCCTTAACCGGAATTCCCCTTGAACTTGGAGTCGTCGAGAGTCGATGGCGTTAGGTCGCTCGGTTGCCGATTTGCTGACAATATGGGCATTTTCAACGTTGAATTCGCATTTGATTATCAGCGTCAATATCCTATCAACACCGTCAGAAACTTTTAACGTTGAGTCAATTACCTGGTGCGGACTAGGATATTATCTACTTCATTACGCCTGCGACAACTAATTGCAACGCCATTTGTCCCGTAAAAACCAATTCAGTTTCTCGACTGCATGCAGAATCTGTTCGACTCAATAGTTTCGTATAAATTTTTGTATCCCAGTATCGTCGTTTACGAAATCTGCAATCCATGATTTCCTTTGACACTAGAACATGACTATCGCGAGAAGCGAGGATATATTGAACTATTGAATTATATATCGGACGCAATTCGCAGGTCCTTATAACCTTGGAAATGCCAAGACAATACCTTCCCTATGAAACCCGCGATGGGACCATTTCTCATCTAAGGTTTTCGAGGGTTACGTAACCCTTCCTTCCGCCTAAATCGCCTGTTATCCCGTATTCGGAAAATGAATAGGAAAGACCATCTTTCCTGCCACCCATCCCGCAGTCGGACACCACATTTTTTTATTTTTAGCATTTTGAAGAATTTAATTTCGGGTATCATTCCCAACGCACAACAATCCAATCTAAAATCCAATCCCCTCAGAGGCTTCGAGCACGCCCTTCGAGGTTCAAGGTCATCAGAAGGTCGGCAAAGCAAGGATGGATCTTTTTTCTAGCGTTGCAACCCTTGTCGTTTGCTCCCTTTTTGCTTTGCCCTTGAAGGAGCTTCTTAACCCTTATCCGGGCGAGGGTATATTTCATTTCAATACTCTCCGCAATTTTTTCAAAATATTCTTCAAATTTGATATGGGTTTCATATACAGTCATCCATAGATTCAAAAATGAATTTTTAAAGTTTGGATTTTGCTTTTAAGGAAAAAATTCTAAAAATGTTTGGCCTTGCCCGTTTGTGTCACAAAAATACCTTGCCCGGATAAGTCTGGGGCAGCTGATGCATCATTTACTTTCGAGCCTACAACTAATTATCAAACCTACCTATACTACCAATTACCAAAAAATTCTTTAATTTAATCCTAATAATTGTGAATAATGTAATTAAAATTAATTTATATTAACTTAATTTAAAATTGTTAATTTTTTATTAATTTTGAATTTACGTTATTTATTAACTTATAATTAATTTTTACTTGATCTTAATGCATGCAGTTTTAACAAAGGCAACGTTTATTTATGCATTAAGGGACTAAATTTCACAAAGAAAAAAAATTCTGCCCGCATTATTGTCAACTACTTAATCAATGTGCGACGGTGGTTAGTGCATCTAACCTCTGTGCGTGTAGAGAAGGAAGAGTCACGGAAGACCACGGAGACCTAATCACACACTGCTCTCATTCCGCCCTGCGAGGGTAGCTGCCATTTCGCAACCTGAGCCCCGCTCGGGAATTGCTCAATTTAACCGGTTTCCTCTCGTTCTGCCGCAATCGTCGAGTTCTAATACTGTCAAGCTCAAGGTTATCGATTCCCTCGATGAAAAGCCTTGATGAGGTCCAGCCTCATGTGCATTCTTTCGAGCGAGATGTCACTATCTCCGATCGCACACATAGGAGCGGAAACGACTTTTTCTCTCTTACAGTTGACTTGTGGTACCATGTGGTGATTTAACCGGGCCATCAACCCTTGGTTTAAGAGGAGCTAAGCGACGACACCAGCCGAACTGGTTTCAGCTGGTTTTATTTTAACCTTGGTTGAGTTCGTATGGAATGAACCTGTTTCTTTCAATATATTCTGTCTAAGATGCTTGTCCCAAGCATCGAGACATAATTTTCCGGCAGAAAATCTAGTTTTATTTTTAATAAGAAATTACTTCATGAGCCATCACAATGCACGGCAAATAATAAAGGTGAGTGTAGCGTGTGCGATGGTTGATGGATCCATGCAAATGGGTGTGCATGCATTTGGAGGCGCATTCTCACCTCCGCGCGTTCATTCCCTCCCTAGGAGGCTCGTATAGCACTCTTAAGGGTGTTCAGGCTCTCCTTACTATCAGGTGGATGCATTTTATCACCGTCGGGTATGCCTTAAGCCCGCCGCATACGAGGCAATTTTTGTTGCTCCACCATCGCGCAGTGAGGGTTAGGATTATCCCAAGGGGGTTATCCTGGATGTTATCCTACTGTCCTTTCGCTTTCATTAGGCGAAGCAGCTGGATATTCATGTAAAGGTAAGGTTACCAAATTATGCCAGATTCAAGTAGTCTTGAATCTGGCATAATTTCGGCACGGTATCGGGAAACACTGGGGGACGGTGCCGGAGCAAGCCTAATTGAACGTCAGCTAATTTCACTTTTCATGGCGAAATGACGCATCGCAAACAACCAAAAGACCACTTTTCGCAATCTACGAGTTATCTGATTGGAAAGAAAGTTCTCGGAATTTCTTGAATATTCAGTACAATTTTTTTCCAGAGCATGCTAGAATGTTACTGGGTTGTAATAATTGTTCATGAAATTCCGAGAACTTCCTTTCCAATCAGATAATATATTTCTCATGGTTGGTCTCTTTCCTCCGAAAGCCCCCAGGAGTGGCTACCTAAGGGGGGGGGGGGGAGAAAAAAAAAAGAATGAAATTCGCATCTTCCAAAAACGAGATTCAATGTTCTCCACAACCCCTGGGAGATGGAGCTTCAAATTTGCTTTAACTATTATGTGTTGAGTGAGGAAGAAGCAAGCTAAATTTCGTTTCTGTAGATGCTCTCAGAGTGGAGCACGAGGAGGTTGAATCTAGCTACGGGAGGGGATTGAAGAAAGGCAATAGGCGCTACCAAAGCCTATTGATGCAACGGCTTTGTCAAAATAAATATGATTTATAATAATGTCAAAATCGTTGATGCATCCGATGCCACGACCATCTATACCGATGACGAATGCTGACAAACGTGCCGGATTCTGGAAGACCTGGGCTTCCTCTATTTTGAATAGCGACTGATGAGGTTTCACGTGCAAATGGCATGGATGTCGGTCTGAGTGTTTCCGTGGGAGGAACTTTTCAGGATTGTTACTTCTACGTCCAAATTCATGTAGATTTTATTCCACTCACATATGCAATTTTCTTCTTGAACTAGACCGATTTTCACTCAATTTCATTTTTTTTTTCATACGTGAAAGGAAAGTGAAAGTTGGAAACCTTTTCGTGTCAGAATACCCACCTTCTTGACGTCACGCTGCAAAAGTGACTCCACGAAGTCTTGGAGATTAGCAGGATATTGTTCGAAAGTGACGATCAAATTCGACCTATGAATTTCATGCTGCACTGGGCAGTGCTTAAGCCAAAAAAAAAACGTAAGAGCAATGCGATTCGATTCGAAAAGGAACCCAAAATCTGGAGAGCACTCCTGTTCTTTAAATGGGCCTCATTCTTGGATATGTCCAGCGAAGAGAAATGAGCAAGAGCAATAACGAATGGAGATTACGGAGAGGTCGTTGAACTCCTGCATTTCAAGGGAAATTTTCCCAGGTTTGAACACGATCGTGCGATAACCTACAGCTTAGGGCTCTTGACAATTCTGTTCTTTTCCGCATAGCACGTCGGGTTTAGGAAATAAGACCCCCAAAATTGACAAAGGCAGAAAAGTGTCATCTCGTTATGCTCACGTCAGATCAAGGTCGCATTCAGTTTTGCGACATTTAATGATATTGATGTCATGTAACTTGATCAACTTCATTGAAGTGTAATGCAAAATAAAAAAGTCCAACTTCAACATATTCCTTAAAAATGAATAGTATGGCCAACCCCCCCCCCCCCCCGCCCCCGAGGAAAGTGCTTTTAAAGTGCTTCCAATCGAGCGATGGTTTGCATCTTCCATCGCTTTATTCCCAATGAACGGAAAAAAAAGTCAGCAATGATCTAACACTTTAATTGAAAATTAACAATTAAATTAAATTAAATTAACAATTTAATTGGTGAATGGTTGCCACTCATCCGCGGCCTGACCCGCATGGCCTAAGGTCATTCGAGGCTTCAGGAAGTTTAGGAAAGTTTTAGGAAGTGTTGTAGATTCCAAATTCCAGTTTCCTTCATAAATCAGTTTTCTTACCAAATTTTGTGTTCTTGAATTCCATTTTCAGAATTATATTTGTCGTGATTTCTTCCAGTAATCTTGCAAAATGTTTTAGATTGTCTGATCATTTTTCTCATGTTGCCTTCCAAAGTAAATGATTTTTCCTCATTTGTCTCATTTCGATTTTGAAATGGTCTATTTCATTCACGATTACTTCCTTCATTCGTGATTTATTTGTGAGGTGTGGTCTCGATGATAAAATTAGCTGGGCGGCAACACTTTCGAACTTCTCGAGGTTTTTTTCCCTAAATGTTTATTGTTTGGTTTGAACCGAACCGCCTTATATGTTTATGTAAACAGTTTCAAATTTCCGCCCATTAGACAGCCAGCGTTGCGACCGCAGGCCGAAAGTATTAATTGAGTTATTGGTGGCAATTCAACCTTAAATATTAAGAACATGGATAATAATCAGCCGCATCACGACGTGAATGTGTCTCAAAGTTGCAAAGTGAGTGTCTTTAATCATCCGATATGCATAAATGAACAATGATGAAGCTACCACCCGGGTGGCTTTTTTTTGCATTTTCATTTCCGGTGGCTTTTTTTCCGGGTGGCATTTTTCCGAACCCCAGAACGTCGGACCCGTTCGGGCATTCAACTCCCCACGAATCGCGAGAACTGTCAGGCTTTGAAAGGGAATCGACTCGTTTTTCTCGAAGCGATTCGATGGATGGCGTCTGCCTCTTCAACGTTTTTTCCTCGGCTTGAAAGGGAATCGCAGCCGTGTTCAGACCGATTTGTCATATATAAGTTTTCAAAACGCTTCATACGGGATGCAGCATCACATTCGTCACAAATACAACACTAATCACGAGAACGAAGCATTGATTCGACCGAATAGTCCACAAAGTTTCGCCAAAACCTTCCCCCATCGTCCCACGAGGTCCCGGCAGATCGCATCGGAGGACACGGGAAGGGTCGGGGTCATCCCACACTGAGACGTCGAAGACGATACGACGTCCCGATGCATGACTCCCTCGCGTCGGATCTCGGTGTGACTGGAGGCCATTCCATCCCTTCAGTTCTCTCCTTTGCAATGCGTCCTGCATCGTTTCGGATCGGATACTCCCCCCTGCTCTTCTTCCAAGCGACGCTCTGCTTTAAGAAAACTGTTTCATGTGAGACTACCTTCAAGCCATTTCTCAATATCGATGTAGATGGGAAATTAATTGATGTGGTGTCTTAGCAAGTGCGAATCCCCTTTACAATCCCCTTTTTCTTTCATGTTGCGTTTTCAATCAGTCGATGCTGCTTTTACTGCAGTTACCTTGAAGCTCGGGGAATTAGTCATTTTGACGCCAGGCTTTCCTGGAGCTTTTTCTAGACCGGGTTCAAGGACGTTCTCAGCATGGCCAGTATCGGTTGAGGGCAGCGTGTCAGCGAAAGGTTGAGGACCGAACCAGCTCAGCATCACCGGCAGATAGACCAAACCATGATACAACCCGTATATCACCGAAAACCAGATGACCTGCCACAAAAACGATAAATCAACGTTTTTACTGGTATGCACATTTGTTATCGAATTACAGTGGGAGTGTATGGAAGCTCACCTTGAGGGTAATCTGGAAGAGATAATTTTCGCTCCAAAGACAAAACACAAAAGCCATCATTGTCGTAAAGCCTCCATTGAAAACGGGAGGACCAATTTCTGCCAAGGTGATTCTCACTCGGTCTATGAAGATGAACGTAACTTTTACTCTAATTTTGTTCCTCATTAGCAGAAAATTACAATTACAAGAGGAAGTCTTCTAGTACCATCTTTAGAATCGCCATGAGAGACCATGAATTTGTGAGCGATGTGGGTGGAATAGTCAACGGCCAACCCGACAGACAAGATGAGAAGTATGGACGTCATGAGCTCGATGGTGAGACCGGTGAATCGGATGCCGCCTGCGATTCCGATGAGTGTGAAGAGAATGCAGGAGAAAACCCAAAGAGATACTTTGATGTCGCCGACCAGCACCAATGTCACCACGAACACTCCGACCAAGGTCAGACTGAGATTCCTCACCAACTCCTCGATTAAATCCTTTCGGACAAAATATAAGGAATAATAAAGCAAAGCCTTCGTGCTCCTGAGTCAGTATTTCTCAGGTCTCGAGAGAATGCAATTAATTACAATTAAAATATAGAAAAAATGAGGGAGAGGTTAGAGGAGACAGAGATAAATCATAAACGCCAAACTGAGCTATGTGCTTGGTTTGGCTCAGTATTTATTTTATGAGCTAATCATTCCTGGAATGGTATAATCCACTAATCCAGATAAGCGAGAATGCAGAACAGGAAGAAGGTTGCCAAAGAATTCCAAGAAAGGGCAAGCCGCTATTGAAAGTTTTTTTTTTATCATTCCTGCGCTTAACCTTCATCTCCGGTGATTAACGTTGTCGCATCGTTTCAGCCTATGCGATACGTCTGGTGTAATGCATACACTCTTAGAAATGAGTGAGCGATTTCCGAGAAGGGGAGCGAAACTGGGGTTAGCGATTTTACACCCTAAAAACAAAGAAGTAATGCCACTCACCTCTCTTTTTCTTGAGAATAACCACTAACTTTTTCTACTTGTTAGAAAATTACTCTCCCTCCTTCGTTTCGCGCTCTTTAAAAAGCTATGGATTCTGCTCATAAAAAGAAGTAGTTATCGATTGTACTCCCTCATTTTCAGAGAGTAAAATCGCTAACTTCAGTTTCGCTCCCTTTCTCGGAAACCGCTCACTCTTTTCTAAGAGTGTATGCATTACACCAGACGTATCGCATAGGCTGAAACGATGCCACAAAGTTAATCAGGTAACCTGAATTGCGCTTTATTGCCTGTCCACAATCGTGCCCGTAGAGAATAACTTGCCTCATTGGTTCGAATGTTCATGTACTCCATAGAAAGACATCCTCTGAATGGATCTCTCTCCTTGAATTTGACTCCGTACAGAACCTCTTCCACCTCGTGGAGTCCTCGTCGCTTTTCTTCCCCGGAGAAGAAGAGGATGTGTTGGTACATTCCTCTCGAGGCCTGAAAAGAGCAGTGCGTGTGCAAATCCTTTATCCGAACGACGAATCCTGAATTTACGGAAAGCATGCGCTCACGGTGATGTTGAAGTCTGTAAGGAGGCTCCCGGTGTATTTAATATCGCGTAGAAAAATTCGTCCCTTGTTAGTGAAGACCAGAAAGGTAGAAAGCTTGTCTTTGAATGCTGCCTCAGTTTTCGGATATTCCTCTGAAAAATATCATTTCCATTATCTGATGGACCTTTTGCAAACCTGTTGGAGTGTTCCGAACTGGAAGTAAACTTTTTCTATGCAGATCTCTCAAATATATTCTGCATGAGTCGGTGGTTCATTGCATCGTTTTTCTTTCACCTTTGACATTTTTTGAAGTCCATTAATCTGTACGAGAACTACTTCCAAGGCATAACTGAGACAGTGCAGGAGTAAAATAAACCCTGTTGCACTCAATTTCCACCAATAGAACAAACACGACAAACATTTCAACAGCATCTTCCCAAATCCAAATCTGTCAGCACAGATGTATCCGCATCACAAGAGCCTCTAATACTTCCTGTATAAGATAAAAAAACTAATACCCAATGAAAAGGGCCTTCATTTGCGAATCTGGCCATCGATTTTGAATACTTCATGTGCCTCCCCTCTGCTTCTCCAACAGCTTCAAGTCGAGCGACGTAAGATGATTCGCTTAAGTAGTTCTGTGTATTGAAAAATACCTTAATACACTGGTGGTTCGTACTGCTTCCTTGGAGAAACGGTATTGCTCGACTTCCGCGTCCGTGAAGGAATTATCTCAAACGAACGATTTAAAGCTAATATGCTAATCAGGGGAGCTTCTAGGCCCTTCCGCACTTCCAACGAAATAATTTGCTCCCTTTTCTGAGATGGAAAATGAATAAATGCCCGGCATCAGTAATTCCTCGGAACGTAATTTCGCTTATGCGATAAATGAACCTGATTTCTGAATTGTCACTTGGCATCCGAAACGAATAGGTGGAGTTGATAAAATGAAAATAAAGAACGCCCTTAAAAAACGTCAACCTCCTATGTGGATTTGAAACCAGGTAGTGGAAATACCGCCTCCCTAGGCGGTATTTCCACTAGGAGCGATGTTTGCCCGGGGGAAATCCACCTGGCACAAAATACTTGGGCGCTAATGGATAGGTGGATTTCCACTGGGGGGTGGGGGGGGGAGGAAGTCCACCTGGATGTTTGACAAGGTATGTGAAATCCAGCCAGAGAATGCAGTGCGAGACAGTTGCAGTACCCCTCACTCTACAGTTGTCTTGTCCGAATTTTCCGACTTAAAATCGGCCTTGGACATCATGGAATACGACGAACAGTTCCTCATGCAGATGTTACTTTGGTCAAGCTGCACTGATTTAAAACATTATTATTACTAGTTTTCAAGATTTTAGGAAACCTACCTCCTTCATCCTTGAGATACTCCAGGAAGGAGTGAAACCAGAATTCCGTAGTTCGATTCTTAATCCCAGGTAGAGCCGATAGCCTATTGAACAATTCTTCCAGGGCCTCTTTCTCTCTGAAGTAATCCGCATTTCCTGTAAAAGATTCATTTTTTCTTATTACCGAATCCACTTGATTACTTCTCGTCATTATTGCCCAAGCAGCATGTTTATGTTAATTTTAGATAACTGAATGTAAATTTTTTGTCCATTTTATATCCATTTTACACAAACCATCAAGATAATGTCAACATGTTTGCAGAAATGTCACCTCTGTAATACGTAAACTGTGACAAAATTAACGTAAATTTTAAGTAAAATTGACATTCCCGTTTACATCCCCAACAGCATGTTTACATTCATTTTGCGTAAAGTTGATGTTAATTTCCCCCTAACATTCATGCGTATTTTTTCGATTTACTTTTGAAGGGAATTGGTACACTATATTTCTCCCATTCCATTCCATACTTTGGAACTCAAGGTTACTTGGACGAGTACACGAGCACACAAGTATTCATCCTCACCAGCACTCAAAAGTACCAAGCAGACTCACTAGTTCCTTCTCCCGTACCAGGACTTCGGGAGGAGGAATAAGTGTTTAGAGGACCTCTCTTCCATTAAGGATATAGAGAAGGTATAGTACTTGGGGAGCTGGGATTCTATTCTTCCCTAATTCTGTGCACTGCTGTAATAACAAGCTTAGCTTCAACATTTAATGATCCCCTGAGTTATATATTATTTAAAAAATATCTAATAATTTCCTGCTTTCCATATGTATATTCATGGATTGCATAATAAAAAGTGGAAGGATGGTAAGAAAACCTGATACTATGATATATCGGGAAAACCAGTACTTAATAGCATTTGGTGATGGGTGAGGGTGGCGGTATAGCGAACGGCGGTAAGTCGAGGGTCGACTATTCATGATGCCGTAGAGCTCCGTCTCTCGTGATCGTGACCTTTTCTGTTCTCAGAGGATTGACGAGCAATGGCCCGAAGAACCTGTGGAAGAACACGTCGAGCAGGAGCTTTTGGGAGCAACGGTTCTTCTTGTAGTCGGCTGGCAAGCGAATGCACAAGCATCCTTCCCTCCCGCTGTCTCGTCTCCTTTCGTCAAGAGACATAATCGGGACCATGAATATCAAGGTCATGACGTAGACGAAGAAAATCCCCACGGTCGTGTAGAAGCAAAAGCTCCGGAGCACTGGTACTTTCTGGTCAAATGGAAAGCAAAGAATTATGGAATCCTCTGAGAACAGAAAAGGTCACGATCACGAGAGACGGAGCTCTACGGCATCATGAATAGTCGACCCTCGACTTACCGCCGTTCGCTATACCGCCACCCTCACCCATCACCAAATCGTTTCATGAGAACAACTATTCCATATCTACGACGGCATTTCAATCAATAGGCTTTGGTTGCGCCCATTACCTTTCTTCAACCCCTTCCCGTAACAAAATTCAACCTCCTCGTATTCCTTTCTGAGAGCATGCCCAGGAATGAAATTTGGCTTGCGTCTTCCTCTCTTGACACAGAATCGCTCCAGAAAATTTGAAGGTCCATCTCCCCCGGGTTGTGGAGAACACTGAATTTTTAAAGATATGAATTTCATTCCAATTTTGTTTTTCCCACGGGTAGCAACTTCTGGGGGTTTTCGGAGGAAAGAGACCAAAAAAAGGGAGAGATATTGAAATTTAGGTGAAGGAAAGTTACATTTTTGTAGTTAACAGTGCAGCATTTCGCCATAAAAATTGAAATTAACAGTCGATTATTTAGGCTTAAGAGTGGTGGCTCCGGTCCCGTCCCCCAGTGTTACCGGATACCGTGCCTGAGTTGTCAGATTCATGACTTCATCGGCGTTAGTATCAGTGTCTGCATCTTTTGTTAGTTAACGTATGTGATATTTTTGTGGAGTTCATGAGATGAGCTGAGATTGAAACGGCGGTGAGTAGCGGCCGATCGATGTGGTGGGATATGGAGATATCTTACCCGGATATCCCTGAATAAACGGGATGGCGCGCACCCTGGATTTCATGCTTCCCTTGAAGCATTCTTTCTAAGACCTATTCGAGATGATTCGAGGAACTCCAGATTGGCTTAACGTTCCACGTCTGCACTGAAATGGTTCATGAAACTCGAAACAATCCTCTAATCGTTCTAACGTTACATGTCCTCGACGAGATGTCTCGAAGACCAGGGTTTACCCCCTATAGGCCTTATTGGCTCCGTAAGTCGAGGGGGTTGAGTTTCTCTTGAACGGAAAAAGGTTGGCCTAGACCTGACCCGAAGACGGTCCTTCGGTTAAGCCTTGGCCTAGCATTATTGCGTCCCGCAGAGAAGGGGAATGGGGTTGAGAATGAAGAATGAAAATGAAAAATAGTTTTCACATTATTTCATAAATAAGGTAACAAGACCTCTCACGTTCAAAAACGAGCTACCCCGATGGGTTTGAATATGTAGAGCGCTGTCACACATCGTCTGCTTTCTCGCTAGGCCACGAGATCGCGTCACCTGTCCACCCTTCCTAACTTCCCAACATCAGTTTCAAGATGGCTGGTCTCCCTCAAACATGGTCCTACATTGGGGTGCGCAGCGTGATCCGATTTCTGTATGTAAAGGGCACAACACCGAGAGAAATCCATCGCCGACTCATGGAGGTGTACAGACCCAAAGTCATTTCACGGAAACAGATTTGGGTTTAGTGCAATGCTTTCGATAACGGCTGGACAGACGTTCAAGACGAGAAGCGACTCGGGCGCCCAAGTACTTCCTACACGGATGACAATGCTTGACGCATTGAAGGGAAGACAGACGCATTATGCTTACTGGATACTGGAAATTCATTTAAATTTATAAAGGATTCGCAAAGATGATGGAAATTGGGAGAGCAAGCGGGCCAGCCGATAAGCTGAGGTAGGGCAGAACAGCTCTAACTGTCGACTTTCTGGTCTGTCTTGAGATTCTGTTTTTCGTCTGGCGTCTGTAAGCACATGCCAGTTTCGATTCCATTCTTGATTCATTCACGATGGCGTAACTGCTAGAAAGAGTTGTGAAGAGGAACTTACTCATTAATGCAAAACAAAATGGAAATTTCGGTTTGTCAGCTTGTCAGGCTAAGGGTCGTCCCTTCTCGTGGACTTTTGCACCACTAGACAATGGAGTCAGGTCTCACACGAATTGCGTTTGCTGAATTTTTGGATGAACTTGATGAACAGAAATCCCATTCATGAATGAAGGCATTTCGCTTTTCGGTCTCCTGCCGTCTGGATTTTTACTTGTCCTCGGGGTATGATTTGGCCTTGTTGGGCCGATTGCATGAACGATGTTTTCCTGGTGTTTTTCAAAAGCCATCGGTTAACCGATGTATAAGGCCAAAAATGGATCGCATGAACGCTCTCATCCTGTAACCATTGTCTAACCGATGTCTAACAGAAACTGAAAAAGGTGTCGTATCCAGACAAGGGATTGGGCATGTTTTGCTGATATTTATTCCAGCGTTCGCATACCATCTCGATGAGTATGGCGCTGCAGTGTACTGGTGAATCTCAATGGAGTCATTCCATCTCAAATCAGCCAGAGGCCGGAGCATGACCCCCTCCGATATTAACAAAAATTGTTTATGTGGTACCCCTCATGGCCCAAAGTAAGAATGCAAAATTTTGGCTTCAGATGTGGAGCCGTTTTGGCACAACAATTCGTTAAATTTTGTGAAATTAAAAAAATGGGGCACCTCTTCATGCTCATGTGGGCCGAAAACCTTTCGGCTTAAACGAACGCAGCAAGCATCGTTGTTCTTTAAAATGTTAGACTTTCGAAGTTATTTCATGCACTTTTTTCCTCGCCGCGATACTGAATGAAATAAAGCTATGTCAAATTTGCCAATTTTTGGCATATTCAGAAATTTGCAAAACGACCAAATCTTCATAAAACCCTATCATATATGTTTGTGGAATCAGCGGGAAAAGATGTAATGATGTGTGTCCCATTTTTGTCCCAACAAATTCTCATATGACCCTCATAAGACCAGTTAAATATTTTCCCCCGATTGTCCACCCGATCTTGAAACAGTTAGCGAGACCGTGCGACGTGACTCATACCCTTAGAATAGATAGTGCATAGGAAAAACGTAGAGCATCAGAGCGGGGCTAAGAGTGATAATATAAACTTCGCATCCATTTCGTCTATTTGCCCGACGGAGATTTCGGTATCGAAGTCGCTTTTCATTCGATATAGCACCACCCTCGTTATAGCGCCAAAATCGGTGACGACAAACAATGGCGGTCTATCGAGGATTCACTGCACTCGCAGGCCATGTCAACTTCGATTTCATAATGGACAAATTAAGCATTTCTGCTTGGGTTACTCCAGGCATCATGCCTCGTAACTATGCGAATATACTCCAAAAACGAAAAGTTACTGCAGCAGAGAAACAGTTCATGACGTGATCGTCACAACTGATGCGACATCGGAGACGCTGATCTGTAGTAGTTTCTAAGTGTGCATGACTTATTCAGGACGTTGTCCATGTCATGTGCATGTTACATATTTTCATAAGGGAGCCTATTTACCCAGGATGAAGAAATCGACTGCGCCTCTGATGACTGCAAGAACTGGTGAGAAAGAAAGAAAACGACTCAGACAGACCGTGGTGGCTCCCATCAAGAAGGCAAAAATGTCCGTGATGGAGGTGACAGTGATGGAGACTCCAGCCAACTTCAGAGCTTCTCCCACGCGTTCCTCTGCGTTCAACAGCCTTCCTTTCGACGCCACGTTCTCCAGGCACTGCATTAACATTGCTTTACGATCATTTCCAACGGATATCCACCATATCAGAGATGGAGGTTCAAATTACATGTAAAAAATACAATCTCGTATCATGGCTTGATCTTAATATCACATCGAACGCATGCGGAAGGTGACAACTTTCTTCACACCCTGCACGGTCGAAGATGGAGAAAGTGTTATATAACTTTGTTCTACATTGAAGAAAAGAAAACGAGGCACCTGGATGATGACGAGCGTATCATCGATGCCGATCCCGAGGATGAGGAAAGGCATCAAATTGTGGAGCTTTGCCGGAGTAAGCCCAAAGTACAGGCACACCCCAGCCGCACTCATGATCGTCAGCCCGATCGACAACACCGCAGCCAGGCCCAGGTATATCTAAGCAGGGAGTTTTCTTGAATTGCGTCGAAATAGTGACTCGACATGAATCAAATAAAACGATGTGGCGTATCCAATATCATTTCATCGGTGTTTCTCGCATCCCGTGTCATGAAAAACTTAAGCTAATTTATGTTCATGCAGACGTTTAAGCATGCAATGAAGAACAGCATATGGTACTCGAAATTGATCTGTTACTAAGGTGTCGTTGATGAACCGCATGTGAATGATAGATAATTTGGATTCAGAGGGTTCACGACATGCGAGACACAAGCAGGGGAATGAGGAAATCGATTCGATAATATTAAAAATAGGCAAGGCAGCCCAAAAGCACACAAATTGCCATTGTGCCCCTTAACTTTCATCTTGCACGTGAGCTCAGGAGGATTCAGAGATTGCAAAAATCAAAGGCATGAAAAGTATAATTTTGTGAAATGCAGCAGTAAAAGCATAAGTTCCAAGAAAACACCTAAAATCCAACATTTGAACGGGAACACTTTAAAAGGGTGCACCACTCCCTCATAGCCACAAGTCGAGGGGGTTCAAGTCTCAGTTCATTTTATTTGGGAGTGGGGCTTGGTTGGTCATTAATTGTGTGTTATTTATTATTATCGAGATACGATATGGTCTAGATGCTCGTCGAGGCATTAGATTAGTCTAACACGAGAATCGACAAAGCAAAATTAACACGCACAAGTGAGGAGCATACGAAGAAAGCCCCAATTTTCTGAAGAAAATTGTTTTAAAGTCATTGGATCGACACTTCGCAGCATTTCAAGGCTTCCTCCAATCCCACGAGAGATTCTCCAAGCAAAAACGGAAATGTCACTGATTCAGGTGAAATTCACGACGACGTACATGGCTATGTATGACACTACCCGCATAAACAAAACGCTAATACATCAAGGCTTCCGAAAAAAAAATTTTCTCCTCGGTCATTAATCGTGAACATAGTAAAGAACGAATGTTTTCAGACGCGCCTTACTTCATAACAGATGAGGAATATCTTGAGTACATTCGAAGAAATTTTTGGTTAGATAAACATGGCGGAGAAGTCATGTCCATTTAATAATTCGCTCGTCAATTGAGAGTGCAATTCCAATTTGTGAATAGCAAAATGACAGCCCCCTGGCGCTTCATTTTCAGGTTATTTTTCTCCCGAAGACTTGTACGCTTTAGAAAATCATGT